GTGGACCTTACGCATTCCCATGGCTTCTCTTAAATTCTCATAACTTACAGCTGTGACTCTACTTTATGAATGTTCTGTGTAATGTAACTGAAATGTAAGGCAAGACATCTCTCCTTTGTCTCTCTCACTATCAAAAATTAAAGAAAACAAAAAACAATCACTAAAACTTTCATTACCTACCACTTGACAACTCAATCTCCTCTTCTTCTCTTGTTACCTTGCACCAGATCAAAGCCCAAATATAAAAAAAAACTTACCCTAACATTTTTTTCTCTTTTGTTTATACATTTTTTGTTTATTTGCATTTGTTTTTTTCACTATTACTGTAGTTGTTGTGGTTACATGACAGCTCCTTACAAGCTCAGATCCCACAGTCCTTTCCTGCTCCTCATTGTACATTGACACTTTGCCTTAAGAGGGGGGCCAAAGAAAGGTCTTGTCTCTTTGTCTTAGCTGTTCCTTTTCTTGATTCTTGAATCTGGGATTTGCTTCTTCACTGTTTTTTTCCTCAATCTTTTCTAACTGTTTCTCAATCTTTTCTCAAATTTGTGTTGTTCTTGGTTTAGGATCTCGAATTCTTTGTTTTCAAGATTGGTAAATGGATGTGAAGTCTTCAAAGATCTGAAATCTTCAAGAGGTAATAATCATTAAATTCTCATCTTCTTTGGTACTTACTCTGTTCTGTATTGTCTGCTTATACATTTAACACAATCATTATTGCTTGTGTTTTTGCATCTTCGAATTGGGCAACTAACTTGCTTTGATAAATGCTGTTCTTTATATGTCCTTGATTTGAGCTCCTTCTCCTGTCTTTTTTGTGTTTTCTTGGGAAATGTTTGTCTGTCTGTGAATAAATTTCTCTGTGGATAAACTTGGGACCACAAAAATAAAAACAAACTTGGAGATTCTCTTATTGATCCCATATACATTTTTCATATATCACTAGGACTCTCTCTGTTTCATAATTCTCATTTTTCTGGTTCATTTTAATTATAGGGGAAAATGGGCAGTAATCTGAAAAGCCAACTATCTAGAGAGAGCCATGTCTTTGGACTTAAGGTTTGGGAAGTAATTGGAATAGCTGTTGCATTGCTCATCATAGCCATCCTCTCGATTCTTTCGTTTTGTCTTACTTCGAAAAAGAAATCAAGAAGATCTAATACCGGTCTTCCCGTTATCCAAATCCCTCCAGTATCCAAAGAGATCAAAGAAGTCAGAGTTGAGCATGTCTCAGCAAGTAACTTCGCTCCTCGTGAAGGCATTCTTCTCACAATCCAAGACAAAAACAACAAAGATTCAGAAAAAGTCTTGGTTCATTTGGATATGGGGAAGAAGCGAAAGAACGGTGGAAGTAGTTGTAGCCGGTCAGGCTCGTTTCACCATTTAGAGATCATTGATAAGCATTCTGAATCGGGTGAAGATGTTTCTGTAAACCAACCTTCTTCATCATCATTGTATAACATCGCAACGCCGTCGCCATTGTCTGGTTTGCCTGAGTCTCATCTTGGTTGGGGTCACTGGTTTACACTGAGAGATCTTGAAATCGCAACTAATAGATTCTCAAAGGAGAATGTTATCGGTGAAGGCGGTTATGGTGTTGTCTACAGAGGAGAGTTGATCAATGGAACTCCTGTTGCAGTTAAAAAGATTCTTAACCAGTTGTGAGTTTTTGGTTACAAGAATTTGAATTTATTTTACCATTTTTTGGTTTGTTCATATGCTGAGTTTTTGTTTGAAATACATTGTAGGGGACAAGCTGAGAAAGAGTTTCGAGTCGAGGTTGATGCTATCGGTCATGTGCGTCACAAGAACTTGGTCCGTCTTCTTGGATACTGCATTGAAGGCACGCACAGGTGAGTATTTGTCTAACTTAGAATGGGGAAAAGAAACCAAATTTATAAGTTACTGACTCGGAATAATGGAAATTTTTATTAGGATATTGGTTTACGAGTATGTGAACAATGGAAATTTAGAACAATGGCTTCATGGAGCAATGAGACAGCACGGATATCTAACGTGGGAAGCTAGGATGAAAGTTATGATCGGTACATCAAAAGCGTAAGCAAGATGATTCCTTCTTCTTCTTTTTTTTACCCCAAACCCTTCTCATTTCCTCTTCTCACATGCTTGATCATCCCCTGTGTAGTCTTGCATATCTGCATGAAGCAATTGAACCAAAAGTAGTGCACAGAGACATCAAGTCAAGCAACATACTGATCAACGACGAATTCAATGCAAAGGTTTCAGATTTTGGCCTTGCCAAGTTGCTTGGCGCTGGGAAAAGCCATGTGACTACTCGAGTGATGGGAACATTTGGGTGAGTGGCTATAAAATGAAAGCAGCAAGGGGTTTATTATCAAAGCTCAATGCTCAAGCCATCCTTTTTGTTAATSTTTTTCAGGTACGTTGCTCCTGAATATGCAAACACAGGGCTGTTAAATGAAAAGAGCGATGTCTATAGCTTCGGTGTTGTGCTCCTAGAAGCAATCACAGGAAGAGATCCTGTGGATTATGGCCGTCCTGCTCATGAAGTAATAAACTCTTTTCATTTGTTTTTGAGTTGAAAGTCCATGAACCTTAGTAGTGATCACTTTATTGATGACTTTTATACCAGACTAACACCGAATCATTGTAGGTGAATCTAGTTGACTGGTTGAAGATGATGGTTGGAACAAGGCGATCAGAAGAAGTAGTGGATCCAAACATAGAGGTAAGGCCACCTACGAGATCATTGAAACGAGCCCTTCTAACGGCACTGAGATGTGTCGATCCAGATTCCGACAAACGGCCAAAAATGAGCCAAGTTGTTCGTATGCTAGAGTCTGAAGAATATCCCATTCCAAGAGAGGTTAGTGTTATAAGAGCTTATTAATCCAAACATAACAAGAAGGATAAGCGGTGAGAGTAACTTGAATTATGCTCCTTTCAGGATCGAAGACGTCCTAGAACACGAGAGGGGAGTATGGACTCAGACTTTGACATGAGCACACCAGTTTCAAGATCACAGAGCAAGAGACAATAATCGTCGTAATTTATCGAACTGCATAAGCTTTCAACGCCGTTTATGATTATGAGGAGATCCCTGTTATTCTTTGAGCTTGTTCTTTTGCATTTTCTCCTATTATTATTTTTCAAGTTTCTTTTCTGGTTTTGAAGACCATAGATGATTGCTTGTACATGGAACTGGCTTTGTATTTAGAACTCCTACATAAAAAATAATAGATTGGTGTGTACAGTAATATAATTGAATCAGCTTTTCAGAATCTGATCTACCATACAACACAAAAGTCACATAGCACCAATTCAAACCAAAAAGTACTCCACTTCAGTCACTACTAGATGGAGATTCTCTCTCTCTCATGTGTAGAATAAGTTAGCAATATTGAGGTTCAAACATCCGGTCCCGTAGCTCAGTTGGTTTATGAGCCGAAGGTCGCGGGTTCGAGCCCCGCCGGGACCATTTATGGTTTAGGTTTTTTTAGCTCTCTTATGTTCATTTTAGTAGGAATGTATATGTAGCCTCAAGGACCAAATTTACCGCTACATGCTAGCCTAAAGACTTACATTACAAGTCCGAAGATATATTATTCATTCCTCTCCGCGTGAGACAATTTGGCTAAACCTATTAAACCCTATACTATAGTCTATACAACATATATACATAGGATAATGAAGTCCATTACTCCTTTTAAATTTTATTCTCTTTG